AACGACGGTGGTGTTTAAGCTAATTGTGCACACCTCAACTATTCCATCAGACACCTACCACCTCCTACCAGCACGAGAACCGGGTAACTCGGCCCACCAAGGCTTAGGCTAGGAAGAAATCACCTAGGTTTTTTTTGTCTCCGTTGGGATTTGAACCTAAGACCTCATGATTCTCCCCCCGCCTCATTGACCACTAGGCCGAACCCTTGATACAAAATAGGGGAACACATTCAACAAGTTTCATATTTTTACCAAAAAGAAAAGGAAATACAGGAGTAGTCCAACAATCCTTATTGTTCAGGCTGTTTTACCTTTATCCGGGGATATGTTCAAGTATAACACATCAGGATACAAGATATTCAAGAAATTAAGCATGTTCTACCTCTAAAAGCTTAAACGGTTAGGCATGAGAAATTATATTTTAAGCCTGCAATACGCACTCATGTGCCGACATTATTTTTTTCCCTATGTATAATATTTTCTATTGAAGGATGGTGAGAGACTTGATTTTGATACCTTGTTAAATGTGTGCCCCACCATGGAACACTTCTGTTATTTATTTATTACTCACTCCATCCCATTTTATGTGGCATGCTATTAGTTTTAGTCTATCCAAAAAAAGAATGACACTTTTCTGAGATGATTTTTAGCTACGCATTTGTCTGACTTATTTTGGATCACAAGTTTCAAAAGGCTTACTTTCTTAAACTCCCTAGGCAATCAAACACCGTCCCGTAAAATGAGAAGAAGAGTAAGTACTACTAACTAACAGGTGAAAACTCATCAATTCTTTATTTTTATTTTTACAATACTCATAAAAAAAACTCACAGGTGAAAAGAATCTTTTTCAGCAGAAGATACAGTAGTACTTACATCCAACATGTGATCAAGAAATGGGATCCCAGTATTATTCTCCGCAACACCTGTTCCATCCAAGTTTATCTTCACATACACATTTGTCTCTTTCGTAGCCCTCTTCACTTCCCCAATACGACCTATCAAAAACCCCAATAAATACATTAAATCGACTTCGCTGCAATCCCATACTAGTTAAGAGTAAGCTATATGAACTCTATTCAGCACATTTCTTTACAAGGCTATCAAAATCTAGAATTTACGCTATACTGATAGCCAGAATTTAAGCTATACGCTATGCTTTGACAGTGATTTTTTTACACCACCAATGTAGTTTAACCTATGATAGTATGTTACTCACCATTGTTACTAGATTATCAGTTAATGCTTATTAAACAATTTACTTGTATTTACCTCATAATTGACCGGATTGTGTAAATATTGTTTGCATCGTCCGTGAATGGAACTTAAACTCTTAGTGAAGAAAGTGTAAACCCAACTTCCGAAATTAAAAAAAAAAAACACTAAACAATCAACCCACTAAGCCTCAATCCCAAACTAGTAAAAGTCATCTATATGAATTCACTGTATCCATTATGCTCTATTCAAGTCCATTTCATTGAAAAAAAAAAAAAAAGAAGAAGAAGAACCTATGTGAGAAAAGAAATGAAACCCATTATTGGGTAGGGAAAATGGAGTTACCTGTTTCAGAGGAAGTTATCGAAGAACCATTATCAAAAGCGTGAGGAATCGTTGTTTGAGCTGCCATTGAAGTAGTCGCTAGTTTGTGGTGTAGTCCAGTGAAAAGATGTGATTTTTGGTGATAATTATTTGTGGAGAAAAGAAGGGTTTGCGAAACCCTAGTTCTTAAATTGAGAAGGGAAGGTAGTGATGAAGAAGAAGAGTTGAAGAGACGATGAGAAATTGATAGCTCCATATGTGAGTGTGAGAGAGACGATTGTGAGCTACTATTTGTTTGACCAAGGAACAAAGGTAACGACGCCGTTCGCCTTCTTTTTTGTTTTTGACTTTTACAAATATCAATTACATGATCAAGTAACTTAAAATTAATAGTAATAATTAAGTAATTGCTAATGAGTATTAATTGGATCTTGGAAAACTAATATGATAACTAACTAAGTTATAGTAGGTTATAATGCATCTAAAAATTCTTTATGTGTATAGGGATGGCAAATGGTGTGGGGCGGTGCAGTTGCGGGGCAAACCCGCGCAAACCCGCAAAGATTTCAACCCCTCTCCCGCAAGGCAAAATTTACTGTTTTTAACTGCCCCGCTCCCGCTCCGTGCAAACTTGCCCCGCATATTTGTTTTAAAAAAAAAATAATTTGGAAAAATTATCAAACGACACCACATTCTGATGCATTATATTCTTCTTTTAACTCAACTTACTACATTTAGTTGTCTTTTCCTCCTATCTTTTTAATATTAATGCAAGAATGTGGACTCTGTGCTACTTGAAGTGTATGTCACTTTCATTATAAATGTTGATTAATCAATGTTCAATTGATCACAGCTTCATGGCATTTTCCTTTGGCAGCAAATAATATTACTACTGCATTCATAAATTTTATTGTAGCACTAATGGTGGTCGAGTTACCTAGCAAAGTTTCAGCCAACTACGATGTCTACATTTAAAAATCAAGACTTAACGTTAAATGTCTGCTTCCAGTTAAAAATAAGAAAAGAGGTATGACTACTTCCAGTTGCAAATATAACTATATAAGTCAAAGAGTTCAAACCAAATTTGAATGGGTAACTACAAAAGTCTATACAGTCCTGTTAGAATGTTACCACTTACTATGATAATTTGAAGGCCTTATAAAAATAGCACGGTATAACCAGTTTTCGGACTGGTTATTCAAAAATAGCCAGCGTTTACGAAGTTAATGAAAAATAGTCATTATTTTGCTGCAACAGAGACCGGTCTAGCATAATATATTGGAGTTCGGTGCACCTGTGTATGAACTCCAGCATATTATGTTGGACCGGTATACTTTGCTGACTCCAGTATAATATATTGAAGACTGGAGCACCGGTGCTCCAAACTCCAGTATATTATACTGGATAATATACTTGTTGGAACTCCAATATATTATGCTGGAGTTCTAGTGTACTTATGCTGGAGTTCAAGCATACTTATGCTGGAACTCCAGTATAATATACTGACGTATTTTTCGGGTTTTGAACAATGTTTTCGCTCAGATTTATCTTTACATGAAAAGTGGCTAAATTTTGATTACTTTTGAAACTGGCCTATTTTTGAACGATCAGTTGTAAATCTGGCTATTTTTGAATTTCTCCCGGCAAAATACATGGTTTACCCATTAAACTTGCACGGAAATCCCTGTTACACACCTTTTTTTCACGGAAAACTTCTTATACGCTCAAACTTTTAAAAGTGTGTCTAAAACACACTTCTTCAGTACTGGACCACTTTTTTTCTCATCAAGTATAGTCACGCACCAATAATAACGTGACACGTGTTGTTGACTTCAAAAAACTTGAATTTATAATTATTTCCATCTTCTTCATCTTCCCCAGGTTGTACCACCATGGCTGGCCCCCTCCCTCCACCACCCAAAGTTTAATTTTAATTTTCAAATTATTAGGATAACATTGAATCTATGTCAACACACTACTGATTAAATAGTTTTCCTAAAATTCTTTTGTATTTGTATCTTCCCTCTTTCAAATTGACCAACTGATTATATAGTTTGAGTACCAAAATTGCTTACACCAAGCAACAGTAAGAACAAAAAAGAACCCAAGAACCCAAAATTCTCAACCCATCAATGACTAAAATGGAAGAAACTCCACAGACCCAATTAGAACCCACAAAATCTCACAAAACACATATGAAGAACTTCACGAATTTTCCCTTCAGCATTTGGCCACCGTGGCAGCTCAACGGCGTCATTCAGCGATTCCTATGTTGAATATGAATCTTTAATTTTCTTATCCTCCCCTAAATCTTGGCAAAAATATTTGGTGGTATGGTGGTGTAAGAGGCGATAGTGCAGTAATGGAAAAAGATGGAAAATAATAGTGAATTTTTTATTCTAAAAATGAAGAAAAGGATTTTAAAAATGAAAATATGAAAAGGCTGGACAAGTGCTGTCAAAATGAGCCTTTAGACACGGAATTTTAATTGTCCACTCGCCTTTCATGTGTGAAAAACACGCGAGTGACACGTAATAAAAAATGTGTGTTTTCGATATGCTTTTAAAAGGTTGAGTGTGTAAAAGATTACCCATGAAAAAAAGGTGTGTAACAGAAATTTCAGTGCAAGTTTAATAGGTAAACTATGGAATTGCCTAATTTGAAAATCGAAACGTTTTAAACTGGCATCCAAACATTTGCATTCAGGCTCCGCACACAATCTATTGATTGTAAAATCACAGGGCGACATCCTGCCCTGCGCCCGCCCCGCCCGCATTATTTAAA